TTGAATTCGGGTTGAATATTTGATCTCCACACAGGCCGAGTCCCGCCGCAGGTCTTCGACAAGGACGACGTCGCCGCGGGTCACGTCGCCTGGGTCGCCACCGGCGCCCCCCCCCGCCCCCCCCGCCCCCCCGCCGCCGCCGCCGCCGCTGCCGCCGCCCGGGCGCGAGCGATGGCCCGCAATGCACGCGCGCTCAGGTCGCCGCCGCCGCGAACGCGCGGGCCAAGGTCTTCGGGCTCCCGCGCGCGGACGAGCTCCGGTGCAAGCAGATCGCGGGCAAGGTCGTCCCCGCCATCGCGACAACGACGGCCGTCGTCAGCGGCCTCGCCGTGTTCGAGGCTGCGAAGATCCTCGCCGGGCTCGGCGGCGACGTCGCGCGGCTCCGGTCGACGTTCGTGCACCTCGGCGCGCCGCTCTGGGGCCAGGCCGAGCCGGGGCCCGTAAACGAGTGGCGCCTGCCGGGTGGCGGCACGGCGACCGAGTGGACGGTCCCCGCGGTCCGCCTCGCCGCGGCCGACACCGTTGTCGACCTCGTCGCCAAGCTCGAGGTCGACCTCTTCCCGGGCGCCAGCGTCCGCTCCCTCGTGGTCCGAGATGAGAGCGAGACGCTCCTCTACCTGCGCGCGCTCCACGACGGCGACGAGGGCGCGCGGTCCTGGACCGTACGGGAGCGGCTCCGTGTGCTCGACGCGGCGCCGGCGGCCGGCCACCTCGACCTCTTGGTCACCGGCGACGACGGCGAGGGGGGGGAACTCGACGTCCCCCCCGTGAGAGTCCATATCGCCCTGGCCTGAGTAACGCTCGCGAGGCTGGCCCGTGCAACCGTCCTGGATCCGCCGCGTCACGGCGCGCCCGGCGGAAAACCCACTGGGGTGCTGGGTGCTGTTTCCGTCCACCTGGCCATTCGTAGCTCCCACTGGCGCGAGCTCAGCTAAAGGAAGCAGGGTACTGCCTCCGAGGCCGCCCGGGGTATCCGAAGTGAAGTTTCGTGAGGCGGATCAATTCCAAACAAAACGAGTGCTGAGAATCGACTCGCGATCGTTCGGGCTCTAGAGCTCGAAAGGAGACACAAACTAGGTCCAAAAACACGCGTTAATAACGCGCTATAAACGCCATAATAAACGTGGCCCAGGAACCCGCGTAATTTACGAAATAACGCGGTACATTTTTTTTTTTACTCAACTTTTTTTTCTAGTCTAAATCGACGCCGTTTGCATCTCGGACCCCTTGAGGGGAAATGGCAGTGTTCCTGACTTAGACTGAAAATGAAAAAGTGAGATGGGGCTGCTGAGCAGCCCTGATTCCCAACAGGAGAGGGTTACTCTATACTGTCTTAAAGTGGAATAGAAAGAGAGAAAGGGAAGGAAATTGGGAAAAGGAGGAAGGACCCCCATACTAAAGTGGGGACCTCAGTCTCATGAAGATATGAGACTGCCAGGTAGGGAGAAAAGGGAGAATAAGCACAGTGGGGCAGATACAGGAGAATCTTCCTCCTGAGCTCCCCCTATTTGCCAAACTGCTATAGATTTTCTCACATATACTTGTTGTCGGACTCGGGAAGTTCAACATCGGACAGGCATGCAACTGCTTCGGCTAACTTAAATTCAGATGCACCATTATCAGCATGAACTCCATACTTAATCATGAACCAACCAAGGGGTCAGGGCAGTAGTGTGTACGCCGCCAGTGAGCAGTATGACTTGCACGGTGCAAACTGTGGGTTCTCCACACCTATGCGCAAGTCATGACACGCTGCACTGATTGTTTTGATGATCTCTTTATCGTCGACTGGTCGATCGCGCATACCTAGTAGGGTCGTAAACTGTTGGCTCAAGTGAGTGCCCAACAGCTTAGTGAATCCATCAGCAGGATTAATCTTGCCTGGAATCCACGCTGGACGCACGATACCCTCATTCTGATAATCGCGAATGCGAAAGTCTCGCAGTGACACAAACTTCGACTTGGGAGTAGTTAGTGGATGGTTCGCAGTAGACAAGGCTGCTTGATTATCCACTAACAGTGGAATACTAGCAAGAGGTCCAAAAATTTCCTCACTGCTTGCAAAAATGTTGTGAAACCACTTGCATTCATCTGCGCAAGTAGCAGCTGCTATCAGCTCAGCTTGCATGGTAGATGCTGCGGTGAGTGTTTGTCTTTTTGTGTGCCAAGACACAAGATTGCCAAATACATACACGCAGAATCCCGACGTAGATCTGAGTTCTCCATCCGTGCTATCAGCCCAATGGC